AGCATCTGTTGCAGAAAATGAAATAAATGCCCCACACCCTGCAAATACCTCCATACATCAGTTTCTTTTCACTGATTTCCATTGACTTATGTGAGAGAAGAATGTCTCACAAATTTCTCATGTTTTCTTAGTCCAGCTACATGAAATAATGGAGGACATATCACACACAGTCTTAGTATTCTGTGCAGACACGCTGGGGATAATAGCACAGCACGACATGCAGAGCAGTGCCAAGGTTAATCCCAAACTAGCTGAGCTAGCAGATTTCCAGGCCACGTCATTAAGTGCTGCCAGTGGTGTCCAAGTGCAAAACTTCCTTCTTCATATCCTTAGCTTGCCTGTCCTGGGAGATTGCTAGGAAGAATCTCCATTGGTAAGAAAATAGCCTCAGGCTTTGTTGTCAAGTGAAGATATCCTTTTCATTCCTCAAGCCAAGTATTTCCATGTTTTAAGGAACTGGAGAAGTGAAACATCTTCTTCCTCTTATTTAAGAAAAGCCTTAACAATTCCTCATTTCCGTGCAATCTCCTGACCAAAGAAAAGTGGTACTGACTTCCAGCACAGAGGGGAGTTAGGATTCATCTGGACGTTCCTGCTCCTTTTCCCTCATGAAACAACTATCTCAGTTCATCTGGTCCTCTGACTCACTTCCTCCCCACTTTTCAGTCATCTGCTCTCAGTGCTCTTTTGCAATTAAGCCCAGTCTTCCTCGTCCAATCTGGAGCAGGGTTCAAGGGGAGCCTTGCTGGGAGGTAGGGTAGAACATAACCACAATGTAATCATAAGATGGAGCTCCCAGGCCTTGTGACCTGTGCAGGAGTTTGGGGTGGGTGGACATCATGCATTTTAATGCTCTTAATGCTAATTTTAAGAGAGCCACAACAGTTCATACCAGCAGGAGCTTGTGTGCCTTTGGTGTAATGTCAGTGATCCAACTGGCTCCAAATAAGCTGAGAGCTCATTGCATGGCACTGGGGACTCATTCCTCTCCACTGGGTAGCAGTTAGTTTCATGAACAGGGTTCTGTGCCCTGGCTACGTGCAGTGCTGTGCTGACTTGACTACACAACATCTGTTTCTGAAGCCAGCTCACAGCCAGCTCAGGGAGCTCGGCACTGTCATCATCTGCACAGCATGGACATGGCCAGCAGAAGACATTAGGACAGGACTCCAAGGAGTGATGGGAAGCAGAATTTAAGACTAGGCTGCAGACTTCTACATTAAGCACCCTCAGGAGTACTTTGAAACATAATGTTTTATTTACCTACACATGTATGTAAAGTGTGCACCACAGCTCTGAATTCAAAGTCAGGTCCCCCAGTTTCAGTCTTGCTATTAAATGCAAACTTCCTTGAAGGGAGAGGGACTCTGGGAGTGTGGGCTTCACCTCAGTCTCACCTACCCTCCAGTAAGAGTTGTGTAAAATTAACTTTATTCTTGTTAGGACTTTCAGGTGTGTGGGTGTTTCCAGGAATAAACAATACCCAACCACAGAACAACCAGGAAGCTGCTTTATAAGCATATTATGCCACTTTGCTGCCACAAAGTTTATAAATTATATCTCCATAGCCAGGCTGCTGCATTATGCCATTCTGCTAGAGGACTTACCATGTGGTGGGATCAATGGGCAAGGAAATGACCACTGCACGCTGGCCTTCACGGCCTTTGCTGAAAGCAAAGGCTGGAAGTACAGTCTGCAATTTCACATGTCAAGACAATCAAATTTGAGGCAGACCTATCAATCATGCTCCAGGTAGACTGGATGAACTCTGTTAGAGTCAAGGACTGGAATAGCTAGAGGAACAGCTAGTCAGAGCAAAGTGCATCAGCTAAGTAGATATAGAACTTTTGCATCTGCCCACACAAGAATGATGCTATCCAATACTTTTGTTTTCTCTTTCTCATACCTCCATATACAAAATTAACATCTTTTGTTACTGAGTATGGAAATAAAACTTCTGAAATTATTTTTCCATCATTATAACAAGTTCTAGGTTCTAAGGTCATCAAAAGGCAGGAAATTCAGGGACAAGTGTAACATACAGTGCTATCTCTGAAATAATTAAAGTGCTATCTCTGAAATAATTAAATTGGTTTTAATGCCCTATACATTGAACAAGGCCATTGCATAGTGTAATCCAGCCTTAACTTTACTTCCTTGCCAAGTTGCCACACAAAACCATTGTATTTCATGGACTGAGTACTTACTCAGTGAGCAAAACAGATCTATCAGTACATAGAAAATCATGATTTTTTTTTTTTCAGAACCATTTCCGGCTTCAGAGATAATTGGATTTACTCATTTATCTGCAGCCTGTTGAGCTGTCTGTACCTTTATGATCCTCAGCTGACACAGAAAGAGACAGCAGGGAGAATTCTTACATGGTGTGATACTTTCAGTCTAGGCCTTCCTGGAGACCAGCTTGTAACCAGGAAGGAACTAGAGAAGTGACCAAGGAAGTATTCCACGCTATTCCTTTACATAACCTGAGGTATAAATAAAGCTGGTCAGAAAGACCTCTCTCTCTCTTCTTCCAGCGAGGTTTGGGAACAGTAGATCCCTGTCTCGGTCTTGCTTATCTGGAGCTGAGGCCTGCAGCGACTGCTGTTGTCTGCCATGTGTGAGGGGAGAGTGCTGGGCTGCATCCGGCTGTCCTGCTTTTCTCAGGGGAAGTGGTGAGATTCTGTTAGTTCTTTATTTTGTTAGTTACTGGTTTTTTTCGATTGTGCATACCTGTTTTGGTTTTGTCCATTTTTGTCCCTTTTTGTCCTTTTTCCCCCTTCCCTTCCCTTATTTCCCTTTTGGGAGCGATTTGGGGTTCCTGTGTTCATATGTACATAGCACCTTAATTGTATATCTGTAATATCTGTAAAATATATAAATATTTCATACAGCTCTTGCTATTCCGTTTTTTTTCTTCTCTCTCTTCTAGGAGCTTTTCTTCTGTAGTCTGTGGGATTTGGCGGGAAGCCAGCTACAGCCGGCTACACATGGAGAAAGTCATGGTAGCTTCATGTGAAGTCAACAAGACCAGGCCAGCTTAAATTTATACCAGATGGGGCTCTAGCACTCTGATATTCCTGTCACCATTGGAATTGAAGTTCCTGGAATGAACTTTTGTCTGCACCTTGCTGATTAAAATTCAGCTTTACAGCTCCTGCACTTCTTGCTGAATGAGTTACTAGCATGGAATCTGCTGTCAGCAAGGACTTTAAGCTGAGTAAAACCACTTCAAACAGAGCAGATCACAGAGACTGTCAAATAATATCTGATGACATTATGATAATTAACATAAAATAGTTCTGCAATAACCCACAATGAAAACCACAGGCAGAACCTAGATCTGTGCTCTCAGAACTGAGAAGACAGGGAAAGTTCAGTCTCCAGCAAGGCTGTGATGGTTCTGCATAGCACCTTAAACAAACAGTGCTTGACTTTCTCTACTGCTGTGTGGAAATGGGAACTTACTGAAAATGTATCCTTAGTTGCACTTTGTTGACAATGTCATCTTCCTCAACTACGTCTCACGCTTCAGTTTTCTTTCCACTTTTTCTCCTTTCAATCAAATGCACACCACACTTCTAATTGATGCAGCCAGCAAAACCAGACAAATTTCACTCCTCTACATGCATTATTTCTCCATCTGGGTCATCCTCTGTCCCACTCTGGTCTTTCTCAGGACCAGTCATGGCAGTCTGGTAAAGTTCCCGCTGACTGAAAAGGGGAAACATAACTCCCACTTTTAAAAAGGGAAATAAAGAAGACCTGGGGAACTACACACTGGTCATTCTCACCTCTGTGCCTGGCAAGATCATGGAGCAGATCCCCCTGGAAATTACGCCAAGGCAAATGGAAAATAAAAAGGTGATTTGTGACATCCAACATGGCTTCACTACGGGCAAATAGTGCCTGACAAATTTGGTGGCCTTCTACAACAAGGTTACAGCAATGGTGGCTGAGGAAAGAGCAACTGATGTCATCTACCTGGACTTGTACATAGCACAGGACACTGTCCCACACAACATCCTTGTCTCTAAACTGGAGAGGCACAGACTACGTGGTGGCTAAGGATTTGGCTGGATGGTCACACTCAAACAGTTGTGGTCAATGGCTCCATGTCCACGTGGAGAGCAGTAATGAGTGGTGTTCCTCCGGGGGTTGATATTGGGATTGGTGCTGATCAACATCTTTGTTGGCAACATGGACAGAGGGACTGAGTGCACCCAGAGCAAGTTTACCAACAACACCAACTTGTGTGGTGTGTTCAACATGCTGGAAGGAAGGGATGCCATCCAGAGGGACCTTGACAGGCTTGAGAGCTGGGCCTGTACAAACCTCATGAAGTTCAACAAGGCCAAGTGAATGGTCCCACGCCTGGGTCGGGGCAGGCAGCCCTGAGGAGAAAGACTTGGGGTGTTGGTGAGTGAGAAGCTCAACACGACCCATCAGTGTGCACTCATAGCCTAGAAAGCCAAACACATCCTGGGCCGCATCAAAAGCAGTGTGGCCAGCAGGTCAAGGGAGGTAATTCTCCCCCTCTGCTCTGCTCTGGTGAGACCCCACAAGGAGTACTGCATCCAGTTCTGGTGTCCCCAACATAAGAAGGACATGGACTTGCTGGAGCGAGTCCAGAGGATGTTCATAAAGATGATCAGAGATCTAGAGCCCCTGTACTATAAAGACAGGCTGAGAGAGTTTGAAAAGAGAAGGCTCTGGGGAGTTCTTATAGCAGCCTTCCAGTATCTAAAGGGGGCCTACAAGAGAGATGGAGAGGGAGCTTGCAAGAGAATGTAGTGGTAGGACAAGAGGGAACAGCTTTAAATTGAAAGAGGGTATTTATTTAGATTAGATATAAGAAAGAAATTATTTACTGTGAGAGTGGTGAGACACTGGAACAGATTTTGCCCAGAGAAGTTGTGGGTGCCTCATCCCTGGTTGTATTCAAAGACAGGCTGGATGGGGCCCTGAGCAACCTGCTCTTGGGGAAGGTGTCCCTGCCTGTGCCAGGAGGGTTGGAAGAGATGATCTTGAAGGTCCCTTCCAACCCAGACCATTCTAGGATCCTGTGAATTCTATGTCGTGGGATCCTGGCTCTCATTGTGCAAGTTAGAGAACAGCCTCCTGTGACTAAGAAATAAAGTGCTTGTCACTTCTTGTGGTAAACTTATGTTTCCGTCATGTCCTGCCGCAGACTTCTGTGACACTTCCCAAGTTTTGCTGCCTTCAACCAGAAGTTGCTCCCAAAGAGTCTTAATGGCATCTTAAATAATATTTTCCTACCAAAAGAATCCATCTGTCTAACTTCTGGTTCTGAATCAATTTCCTGTAGCAAAGATCTTTCATGATGGCAATTTAAAGTAGGACTTTTCTTGTTTAAAAGAGAGTTTGTTCTTTTGCAAAATCTCCTCTATCCCACTGAATATTTTAAATTTTTATATTTATGCAGCAATCTTGTACCCAATACACTATATCTGCACATTTATACCACCTTAGTTTCCTCTTGTCTTTGCATCAAATTTGAGCACCACTTCTTTTACCTTGGAGGCCTGATACTGATTACATGTTCTCTCTCCAGCCTTGTATCTTAATCTCTACTTACAAAAAGACCTCTTCTTCCTCTCCATGCCCTTGTCTAAAATACAGCTATGATATCTATTCACATGCATTACTAATTCCAAGGTCAATGATAAATACTCAGAAAACAAACCAATGTTACTGAAAATAGCACATTGAAAAGCGGAGGAGTGTCAAAATGTGATATTGTATTTAAAAAATCAAGGGGGGGAAATATGCAGAACACCCTCCCACAAAAAACTATAGCCAATGAGATGATCCTGGGACCAAGATGATCCAGCTAAATTTGTGTCTTACATTATTTTCTTTACATGATCATTATCAGGTTTTTTTTTACGTATTTACATAAGACCTTAACTCACACTCCTCTGTTCCAGTGAACATCAATGCAGACAATTTTGGAACACCAGTCTGATCAAACAAAATTACCAGAATATCAGACTGCAGTCATCAGCAGAGTTCAAACATGGTGTGCAGTCCTAGTGCCTGAGCAGTTCATTTCCTGCCAACTTTGATCTGTTTTCTGTATTTACTTCTTATGTCTCTGTCCTCAGTAGTAATTACCCTGACTCCTAGCTTTCAAACAAGACAAAAAGCTGAAGCCTTTTTTATCCTTGACCCACAGAACTGTACTAGGGAAGTGCTGTGGCTTAAGAAGGGAGACAGAACTCTGAATCTGAAATTAGTAGCTCAGTGAGGAAGTGGAGAAACAGGTACAGTATTATTTTAAAACAACACTCACGAGAGTATTCTGAAAAAAATCCCCAAACAAACCAATTTTTAAGTGAAAGATGTAGGCCACCTTCAGTTTCTGTCTCATTTCTGTTGAATAGAATTTAAAATAGCCTTTTCTTTCCCCTCAAAACTCAGTTTCTGTTCTCAGGGTCTGGATAGACTTGTTGTTCAAGATGAGAACTGTGCTACCAGCAGCTGAGAAAGAAATAATTAAAAATGTCACTTACAGAAAAGGTTTGAGACTGCTTTTTTTTTTTTTTCTCTTGAGGAAGATACAAGGAAGAATTGTCTTGGAGGTAGTACCAAAGAAGTGTCAAAGAAGTAGCAGTAGTAACAGACATGACAAACATGAAGAATAAGTTTCTCTCTAGCTTCCCAAGACTAACATTTACTTTTTGATATTAAACTCAGCCTTGCATAATCTCCTCTGCTTTTACCCTTTCTGAACTCTGCTGCAGGGTTTATCTTCACTTATCAGCCTCCCGAGGAGAGCCAATGAACGGAAGGCAGAACTGCTCAGCCTGTTTCCTCAGTGTTTGCCCAGGCTTTCAGCACAGGAAGCTTAGTGCTCTGAAAAGTCAGAAGGAGGAACCTCTTCAGCTTTGAGGAGCCAGTTGATCAGGAGCATGCACAGCTAGAAGAGAGGAGTTGGAAAGGGAGAGAGGAAACACTTGACACCGACTGCTGAGGGTGCACTGGCAGGCAATAAACGCTCCCCGTGACCACAGTTAGGTTGGTGTCGGGATGGATGGAGTGACGGAGCTGCCTAAGGCATGAAAGCAGGAACCAACATGAAGATTTCTGGGAAGACTGTGTATATGTTTGTGCTGCTCACCATCATTGTTATGAGATCAGGAGGTGAGTCTAACTGGAACCAATTGGCCATTGGGATGTAAGATTGGGGAATATGCACAGCTACTTTCTTTCTGTAGAAGCTATTCATTGCTCTGTGGCTCTCATTAAGTGCTAAAAATTGTGGAGCACAACTAAAACAGCTTTCCCAATATCCATTCCTGTTCCTCTTTTCTTAGGGGTCATGAAGCTGCCAGGCATTATCCTTGTGACTTCAATGTAGAAAACTATTTAGTGGCCCTCAGCTGGGAATGTAACATTTGTCACAAAAAGCCTTTTTATTGACAACTCAAAATCCACATAATCTGAGAAACTGATCCTTTTAACATATTAAAAATATGTTCACAAAGTTTTTGTGAACATGAAGCTTTTGGACATGCAGTTTCTGCTGAAGAGAGGCTGCAGGTACTCTGAAATAGGGCAGGAATCTCTTGCATCTTTTGTGAAGTAGTGGAAGACCCCCGATGCTCTGACAGTAGGGAGCAGCTTCTACAATTTTGTTCTGAGGCTAAGGGGCACGCCCAGTATCAAGTTGGGAAAGGCTTTTGTGCCAAAGGCAGTGGCACTCCAAAGCTTCTGTCTTTTACTGTAGTTGACTTAGTTTTAATACTGTTTAGCTACAGCAATTAATGTTTCCCACATACTGCTCACTTGCATTTCTAGAGCTTGTGCTCTTCCAGACACCACACAGCACGCCGGGAACTTGGTAGTGGATCTAGGAATTTGGGCAGCAGTTCCAGAAGCCTAAATTGTCTATGCATAGAGGGAGAAGGCAGATAGGTCTGTGAGATCCAGATTAAATTAGAGACATATCTGAATAATATGTAATGTGCATGTGTCCATTCCTATTATAGACAGAAGAACTAAACTGTGTGGACATGAGTTATTCCATTCCACTTGGCCAGAAAATAAAAATGTCTCCTTCATGATATTTTAAAGCAAAACAGATGTAGTCATTGTTGGCAGTGACAGAATACCTGTCTGTAATGTGTCTGGGTGGTAATGAAAGATCCCAAATAGTTACCTCAGTGCTACCCATTGGAAAAAATTGATATACTTCACAAAAATTATTAAACTTTGCATCAGTAACCTCACAACAGGTACGCTGGAGGAAAAAAACCCTGTCCCTTTCCTGTAGATAAAGAACTATCTCAAAAGAATACTGAGGAACCTGCTCAAGATCATGCAGATAGATTATGGTAAGCATCAGAGACAGCCAACATTTTTGAATACAGCTGCTCGAAAAGTAAAGGAGTATGAATACACCACAAAATCTTGAAGAAAATGGGGAGAAAAAGGGTAATAAACTTGGCAAAAATTCTTTTTGAAAACTGACTTTGCTGGAAATATTTTAAAAAGTCCAATGCCAAAAAGTGGATATTTTACACCCAATGGTATTTTGATTTCAACTTCTTGGTGTCTTGGTTAATCAACTATGTTGCCCTTCAAAGAATGTAGAAAAAGGTGTTCAGTTAAAATGTAATTTCATGCCTGAAACCTCCCCCGCTACCCGCATCCTGCTCCCAATAAAAAACAGCCCACATTTGATGGGAAGTTTTTAGCTAACACTGCTCTTAAACTTGTTTCCGTCATTATTAGGGTGATTCTTCTGAGCAAGATCTAGTGACAAGGGGTTTTTTTCTTCAGAGATCACAGGCTAAATATGTCAAACTGATCCAATGAGTGCATTCTATCCAGAGAATTCTAGTGTTACATGAAGCTCAGAAGGAACTGTGTCCCCCCTTCTGAAGACTAGAGCAAGCTACTCTAATCTAAATAAGGTCATGCAAAAACTGTTGTGTATAACCAGGCTTTATCTCCATTAACATTTTCCTTAACATTTCCTTAGTAAGTTGTTTTGTATGATTGGGTTAGTTTTTACAACAGCAGAAGGGGCAGCTCAGAAGCAAGGCTGAGGTTGCTTCATAATTGTTGCATCTGCCCTCAGGTAGAATTGGATAATACACTAGTGAGGCTGCTGATGCATGATCTCTACTATCAGTCATGTTGTGGCAATCCTCACAGTCGTGGTAGAGAAAATAAAAATCTTTTTGGTAATGCTTTGAAGATTTCTAGCACACAGAACAACTCAAGTGGTTGTGTACATACTCCAAAGGAAAGTGGTAAGAAAAGGCAAGATCTTCCATGAGAAGTTCATGCAACAGATCTCTTTTTATTGAAATAACATTTGCAGTGTTGGGCTGTTAAGTCCTGCATCTGCAGTTGTATCTTGTGACAACAGATATGTCCAAGTGCTCCAGAGGAAGCTGCAAGACATCCATTGTCAGTAAGGAGATGTGATTCTCTATGGTTGTTCAGTTTCATCAGTAGTAAAAAACCGAAGTCAGTAATATTGTATCGGTGCTGGAATTACAGAGCATGAGATGAATAAAAGTGAAGTTGATTTACAGAGCAACCTAGGTACAGTTCAAGTTTACCTACATACTTAACCTTCTTGAATGCTACTGCTGTCATTTAGTTTCTTTCCTTAATAAAGCTGGTAAATTCTTTTTCACTAGGGTACTAGTGTTTTATTGCGTTTTTAATGTCTCTGTCGTACTGTGTTTCACTGCTTCTGTCTCTGTTGCCTTCTTTTCTAGTTTGTGATGGAGTCTTGCACTAGATACAAAAAAATCATAGCCTAAAAAAACTATTATGATAATCTTACTGTTGTCTCCATTTCACTATTTTTTGCAGCCCCCTGGGACTGTGTGCTGGAATCATTCTGACTTTTTTTACCCTAAAAACATCTGAATCCTAATGGATGGGTTTTCTCACCCAAATTCTTAAAACAGAATTTCGTACTGAATTTCCACTAAGCAAAACTTTTCTTAGAACACATCTAAATTGCCATAGTTCAATCTTCAAAGCACATCCTTGTGATACCAACATTTTGCTGTACTGTGGTCCAAACACATTGAAAGCATTTGCATCTGAATGTGTTAAAACCATGGAAAAAAGGAAGCTCAGTCTTGCAAGCTGACCACAAACTCCATGAACTACAAAGCAAGCAGATTTGCTTTAACTGTGAATGCACTTGTAGAGGTATGTGCTACTTAAAACTCACCGTTGGTATATTTTGTATTTAGAAGTACAATCATTCACAAGAAAACAAGCACAGAGGATCTTCTTGTGCTGCCTTATCTTTGTATTGAATAAGAAAATGCTAGGACAAAAACCACTATGCTAAAGCTAAGCACTAAACAAGGTATGACTGAGATTTTAACTATATAAAAGTGAGATTATAGACATGTTTTCATAGCAGTCCCTTATCTGCTTTCTGCAAACTATGAAAAAGAAGGCATACAAGCTGCTGTTTGCAGTCAACGATCTATTTTTTGTTTAGAATAGCAGGAAAACACCTCTCAAGCACAAATAAACAGTACTTTTTCTGTTTTCCTTCTCACGCAGACAGTAATGCAGAACCAAATAATGCAGTTCAGCATACAGAACCAAATATAAAACAATCTGTATCTGTTTCTATACTGAGAAGTTGGAGGCCCTTTGTTACACATGGTGTCACAGCGCTACTCGGAAAGAAATACTACCCAAGGCATTTTGTTGTCCAGTATAAATCCTTCTTCCCCTCATCCATTCCAGCTCAAATTCTGCAAGGACAAAGATCTTTGCACATAGAAGTTGCCATACCAACTTCAAAGTTTACAACCAGGCCGATACAATATGTGACAGCTTGTTAAGTTCAGTGATGATTTATTATCAGCTGAGGATTTGGCCAACGGTGTTTGTTCTCTAAACTGCGTGACTGACACATCATTTAAACACCAACAAATTCCTTCATTAAAGAAGTGTATCTATCCTTTTTTTCTAGAAAGTCATATTTATATTGAGACATAACCCATTTAATTGAGAGTAATCACTGAATCACGGGATCAAATGGCAGTGCTGAAATGAAATTAAATTGCTTTTTTTTTTTTGCAGACGTATCACAAAACACTTTTCATAAACAATTTGAGCACCAAAAAAAGCACCCACTTTATTGAAAGGCTGGTTTTAATCCTGATTGAGGCAAGATTCTCTATTCTAAGTTCCAGTCTCAATTTGTAATATTACTTATTTTTATTATTATTACATTTTGAGCTGCTGAATTTCAGCACACATCTGTCATTCTACTCATCAAGGTCAACTGGTCCTTTTTGTATGACATATCAATTCTTTATACTAGTAACACTATATTCTTCCTGCTTTTAACAAATTTCCTCAAACAGCCAATGCCATTAGTAAAAAGGTTAAATGCAATTATGGCAAAAAACATCTGCTGAGAAACATTATTAGCAAGCTACTTTCAACCTGACACCTCCTTTTAACACTGCCTTCGCTTTCTCTCCTTAATCCAGTTCTTAATCCATCATGTTTCCCTTCAGTTGTCCTTCTATTCTTCAGCTTAATTTTTTTCAAGACGACACTGTATCAAACCACATCTCTCAATTAGGTGTGCTTTAACATCTTTTCTTTTCCTTCAGAATTAGCTATCTTGAATGACTGCTTGAAATTATACTAGAGAAAGCTTAGTAGAATTGAAAGATCATAGAAAAATGAAAAACTGGAACTGGCGAATGCAAAGGTATATTCCACCTTGAATGGGAAGACTGAAACCTTGGGATCATTATTGAGTTCTGTCAGTGTCCTCACCTCTCTGCAACATATAAAGCCATACTGAAGTTTGCAACATAAAAAAAAATCCAGCCATGCTGTGGGCACTTCATATTGGAAAACCAGTGACAAAGTGTGTAAGGTTGCTATTTTGGCTTGTATGAAACAGCAAGAAAGAATGACACAGTAATGGGGGCGAGAAAAGCACTGCAAGTGACATGGTAATAGTTGCAGAAAAGAAATGTGTTAAAAGGAGAACAAAATAAGAATTCGACTATGAGGAAGAAAAGAATATCTGAAGATAAGAAAGAAGCCTAACTAAAGGAAATGGGAATAGGAGATATTGTCAAGAAATAATGATAAGTATGGATAAAAGACCGTGAGTGTGAAACTAA